CTTTGTTCAATTTTCAAGCTTTTATCTCTCCCTACAGGCAAATGATTCAGTCTGTTTTGTTCACTGCTCTATTCCTAGCTGCTGGTGGACTGACCATCACCTATGGGCAGTCAATAAATATTTGCTCAGCAAAGAATGAACTACTGTATTCTAGATGATGAAGCTCAGAGGGTGGGTGACTTCCCCATGTTCACGCAGTGTCTGTGATGGAGACAGGCTTTGAATTCTCAGCCATCTCAACCCAAAGGCAATGCTCCTAATCCTCTGCTTTAGTCTCTCCGTGTTTAAGGGTCTGGCTGCCCACTTTGGTGTGTCCTTCTGGGTAGGAATATGGATGGGCTCAAGGTTATGGATTCCTCCAGGAATATTTCTGGGTGCTTACTGTGTGTGAGGTGCTGTGCTTTCAGCACTAGAAACCTATTGACTAGCAAAGCAGACATACCCGTGTGCTCATGCTTGCATTTCCCCAGGCACTTAAACATGTGTATACACAGTTAAGCACGTGTATTTCTGGAGTGGATGAATGCACGCAGGTCTGTGCATGCTTGTATCTGCAGTGTATTTGCAGGGTGTGTGTGTGTGTGTGTGTGTGTGTGTATGTGTGTGTGTGTGTGTTCTGTTGTGAATGTGAGATGAACTCTGTCCAAGGGGATGATATGAGCATGTTTCAGGGTAGGCTGCCTGCACTCTGATCCTCACTCCTGACCTTGCTGGTTGTATCACTGTAGGCAAGTTTCTTCAGCATGCTGTCTCTTGGTTTTTTCATCTATAAGATAGGTATAATGATAGTTGTCCCCTTTCTGAAGCACTTTCAGGGAGTGCTACTCAAAATATAGACAGGACTCCTACAATTGTGTGTGTGTGTGTGTGTGTGTGTGTGCATGCATATACATGTGCATGTATGCATGTGTACTGGGGTAGGAATATGGATGGTCTATAAGCCTAGCCACCCCCCAGACAGTTTATTTATCAGCTTTTTTGTTGCTGGACAAAACACCTGACACTCACAACTTAAAGGAGGAGAGGTTTAATTTCTCTCATGGTTCTGGGGATTTTGTCCACGGTTGGCTGGCTCCCAGTGGAAGGGCTTGGGGGAAGAAAGCTGCTCACCGCGTGGCAGCCAGGAAGCAGAGAGAAGGGGAGACCCAGGGAGGGAGATGCACCCTCCAAAGGCACACCACAACTACCACTTCCTAGCAGCATGTTTAGCTGTGAATTCATCAATGGATCGATCCATTGATGAGCACAGCACCCCATGATCCAATCACTTTCTACAAGTCCCATATCTGAACATGGTGAGAGTTTTGGGGGACTTTGTAGACCATAACAGACAAGGTCTTGCTATCTTGTCTAGGCTGGCCTCCAACTTGCAACCCTCCTGCCTCAGTCTCCTGAGTAGCTAGAATTACAAGCATGGGCCACTGAATTTGGCTAGTATTACTGTATCTTTACTTGTCTGTGCTTAGACAGGACAGAAACTCTAGAAACTTATGCCTCTTGACATTGCTATAGCATTGAAATGTGGCATGGGTGGACGGCCCTTGTATAACAGGGTATGGGTGACTTTGGGTGTTGCTTTCACAGTTAGACCACATATTGGATCTGCAGCAAGTTGGAAATTAAACAAGAAAGAGAGAACAAACCTGTTCTTTCACTGTCGATAGTTTGAGAAGCCCAGCTTTAGGGGATTAAGCAGGATACTACATGCAGGGTACTTAGCATGATGCTGGATGGTGTGAGGGCTTGAAGGATGTCATCTGCTGCTGTGATGTAGAGGAGTGAGTGGATGTGTGACTCCACAGTGGGGCTGAGTGTGGGTGTAGGCTTGCCCCTGTGTGCCTGTGTGCAGCCTGAGTGTGTGTGTGTGTGTGTGTGTAAGGGATTGTGCACAGCATGTGTGAAGGGGTCTGCGTGTGGATCAGCGTGTGTGTGTGTGTGTGTGTGTTTGTGTACAGTGGGAGCTGCTTACATGTGAGTGGGTACGATATAGTGCTTCTGGGTGGGGGTGTTTGTGTATGAAGGGTTTGGGGAAGCCTGAGGAGGGGCCATGGTGGCAGCAGCAGGAGTGATACTGTCACCACTGTGTCACCCAGGGGCAGCAGGGGAATGGATGCCAGCAGAGTACAGGGAAGGGTCAGGCTAGTGGCCCCAGGACTCCACATGCCAGGTCTTCAGCTTCTGGGGCAGGACTGGTCCAGGTGGATGCTGCAGTCTGGTGGGACTTGTGGGGGTGGAGGGAGAGAGCATCGCTTCAGTCCCACGGGGGCAGGTAGGGGTCTCCATAACCTGGATGGAGAGCCCCTGGTTCTCCATGATGCTGAGCACTTGCTTCTTCTCTCCACGGTGATATCTTTTGTGGCACTGATATTGCCGTGGTCCTGAGAAATGACAGGCTGTGGGTGCCCACAGAAGGCCAGCAAGGGCAGAGATTCAGCTCAGCTATGAGTGGGTGAAAAGTATAAGAAGGCTGAGAGGACCCCATGTGTGGTGACGAGGACCTGATCATTGTCCCTGAGCTGCAAGCCCACCTTCATGGTCAACCTAGGCCTGCACAGGAAAGGCTGGTGCTAGCCCAGTTCAGGCCAGGCTCTGGGCAGGTAGAATCAGGAAGGGAACCAAGACCCTCTGAGGAATTGAGTAGGTCAGAGAGAAGCATCCTAAAGATGGCCCTGGTGCCCCAAGACATGGGGGAAGGCTGGGGTCTGCCCGTGGCATGTGTCTGTGTGTGGTGCGCAACCTGGTCAACCTCACTGTGCGCTCACACAGAACCTCCTCCCGCACAGCGCCTACGAGCACAGGAGGCAGCCCTGCCGGCCTGCATGTGTGACTGCTGTACAGATCTTGTATGATTTTTTACCATGATGACCATGGTTGGGAAAGTACCACTTGCATAGTGTCTTTGTTTGTTTGTGTTGCTATAACAAAATCTTGAAGCTGGGTAATTTATAAAGAACAGAAATTTATATTTCTTAAAGTTCTGGAGGCCGAAAGTGCAAGATGAAGGGATGGGTGGGTTTGGGATCTTCTCTGTGGTTTTCTTTGCCACAATTTCAGTTACCCTTGGTCAGTCGTGGTCTAGAAACATTGAATAGAAAGCTCCATAAATAAATAATTCTTAAGTTTTAAGTTGTGCACCATTCTAAGTAGTGTGAGGAGATTCATCACTGCCCCTTCTGTCCTACCGTGATGTGGATCCTGCTTTTGTCCAGTGTATCCCTGAGTTCTTGCCCATTAGTAACTTAGTAACTCTCTTGCTTATCACAGCTTTGCAAAGCATGGTGCTTGTGAGCAGGTGACCCTTATTAATAATGGCTCCCAAGTGCAAGCCCAGCGGTGCAAAGTTGGCACCAAGGCATAAGCCACCGAAGGACAGATACTGTGATACTGCGTGCTTGGCAATGCTGCAGGACGTGCAGGAAAAACAGTATGGATAGAGTTTGGCGCTGTCCGTTTGTTTCAGGCAGCCACAGGGGGTCTTGGGAAGTATGTGAGCCCTGAGTAAAGAGAGGGAAACTATCAGCCTGGAGTCTGGGGCTGGGGATATAGCTCAGTGGCACAGCACTTGCCTTGCAAGTATGAGGTCACGAGTTCGATTCCTGGTACCACAGAAAAAACAAATAACAATAAAACAGCATCAGCCTGGAGTCTGGCACAAGAATCTGCCGGTGCCTGATTCATATGCAGTGCAGTGGCCCAAATAGCCCGATCGACTGTCCAGCATCGGTGTCATTTCTATTTCCCCTTGGTATCTGGTGTGTGCCTTTTGGGCCATAACAGTTCATTCAATAAGTACTGTGTGTTCTTTAGTTTTGATGGTGGTGCTGAGGATTGAGCCCCGGGCTTTACAGTGACAGGCAAGTGCTGTGCCCCTGAGTCGCATCCCCACCCCCCTTAAGCACTCTGGAGAGAGTGAGGGGGTCAGAGGCCTCCGGGATCCCATCCCTTGCTGACCTCTATGCTGTCGTGTTTTCCACACCTGACTTCAGCCCCAGCTGGGCTCTACTTCTAACCTTTCGAGTGTCCCACAGGATACTACCCCAAAGTAGGGAACCTGACATTAGGAACACCTTTTTTTGAGGGTGATAGCAGGGAATGACTTCAGGGCCTTTGCATTGAGCTATACTCTCACTGCCTTTGGATTATTATTATTATTATTATTATTATTATTATTATTTGCTTTGAGAGGGTCTAACTAAGTTCCTAAATTGGGGTTAAGTTGTGATCCTCCTGCCTCAGCCTCCTAGAGTGCTGGGATTACAGGTGTGCACCACCATGCCGAGCTATGGGAACACCTTTTAGATTTGCTTTGTACTTTTGGTGTATTTAAGGCTCTGCAGTATCCTGAGCTAAAGAAACCTGACTGCCTTGCCTTATCCCAGAGTCTGCCAGATCTGCTTGAACAGTGAACGCTTCCCAAGTGTCCTTGTTCTTTTAGCGGAGCATCTACTGACCTCTATGGGACAAATATTGATTGGGGGTCTAGCATGGGTCAGATGTCCTGGTTGAGAACCCAGCAGGGAGTGTGGCAGACACAAGCCCTGCCATCAGGAGCTTCCTGCCCAGTAAAGTAATAAGAGCTAAGCCCTTCCCGTGCCTCGTCGCATGCCCTCTGCACTCTGCAGGAGTTAGATATTATTGTCCCCATTTGATAGATGTGAAAATGAGGCTTAGCATAGTTATGTGATCTCTCTGAGTTCACACAGCTAACAAGCTGCAAAACTGGGATACAAGCCCTAGAACTCCAGGCAGCAGAGCTCAGAATTTTAGATACGAACAAGTGTTCTTAGAATAGGAATCATTGTTCTGGTCAGCACTCTACCCTGGCTCAGGCCTGATCCCTGCTGCCATTCAACCCTGACGCCAGTCCAGCCCTTACTCTGACTCTATCCTTAGCCCTGGTGAACTCCTGGTCACACGTCAGAACCCTGCTCAGGACTTCTGGGACTTCCCATCTGTTCCTTGGAGAACCTCAGAGAAAAGACAAGACTGAGTCCAAGTGATCATTTTTACAATTCACATTTATTTTGGAAAAAAAGGTTCTGCTAAAAATACTCCTACAAAGGCATTGGAGTAACAGGGTCAGGGTTGCTGTTGGACACAGCTGGTGAGAGTCCCTTGGTTACAGCAGTGGGGGTCTGGAAGAGCCAGGTGTGACCCACGGCCATTGGAACCCCAGCTGGATCACCGCCTGACCCCCAACATTGTCAGGAAAACCATGTTCATGATCAGAAGAGATAGTTCTGTGAAATACTGTCAGACAGCCCCAGCTGGCTGGTTGCAAACTCTGATCTGAGTGGCTCAGGCTGGGGGGCGCCCCGGGAGGAGGTCTGGGTGTCCCTCACCACCCATGGCCCTGACACAGCTCCAGGGAGGCCACGTCTAAGAACATGAAAGTGACCCCGGGGATCTGGGCTTGGACTGGAAAAGGTGTGACCGTGATGAGGGCTGAGGGTCTGGTGGTAGCAGCATAGCATAGTGATTAAGAGGGTGGGTGCTGGGCTCAGAGACCGCTCGCTGGCCATGTGACGGGGGAGGCCAGTAGCCACGCCTCTGAGCATCCTAGCCTGTGGAATGGGAGCAGTAACTGTGCCTGCTTCACAGAGTTTGGTGGGGATTCAGCAAGACACTGCATATAGAAAGTTAAACATGGCGCCCGGTATATTGTTGGCAATTAAAAATAGCAGCTATGATTTTAACCAACCACTCACCGCTCTTCTTTGGAGTCCAAAAGAGCTGGCTGTGAGTGAGCGTACCTGCCAGGCCTACCCCGGGTCAGCCACAGAGAGCAGATCGGGGCCCTGGCTATCAGAGTCCCTGCCCGCAGAGGGAGAATGGCCCCCTGTCAGTCACTGAGCTCCGGGCTGCCCACACAGTCTCTTTCTCAGGCTGCCCTCCAGCTCTGGTGGGCAGTGCTAGAACTGGAAGGGCACAGGGGTCCTCAGGATGGGCAAGGGCTGAGTGATTGTGGGAGCTGTGTCCCTGGGTTAGAGGGACGGAACTTGGCTAGGGGATGGGCAGCCAGACCCTCCTGTCGCCCAGTGTTTCGTCTGTAGCTCTGAGCTGGAAGGTGGTCAGCTTGGGGCATATTTGCCAGTGGGCGGTGCCCAAGGCAAAGCCCCGGCCCCCGGCTTCTTTGGAGTTGGGGGGGTCTCCCTCCAGATAACTCCCTCTCCAAACAGAGCCAGGGCCCTACTTGAACAGTTGGAGTCCACCAGCCAGTGGGCACTGGGGCTGCACTGGACTGTCTTTAGCCAGCCCTACTGCCCCCTTGAGGGCCTGTCCCTCTGCCAGGGAAGAACCCTACAGGACCCCGGAGCAGGTTTTTGCCCTACCGGAGGTCCATCTCTGACTCAGATTCCAAGGATGGAACTGTTCTGAGAGTTCATTTTCAGCTTTCTCCTCCTCATCTCTTCCTCTCCTGCCCTTTGTGCTTTTTTTGTTTCCTGCTAGGGCCCTTGGGTTTGGGGACCAGCAGTGAACAACGGGAGTTGATATTTCAAAAGTAGCAGCATAGGATCCTTTAGTGATGGAATTTTAAAAACCCAGAACCCCTCCATTGGAATCAGACTTTTGCAGTCTTAGAATCCCAGGCTCCTTTGTCCATGGAATGCTAGAATTCCTGACTCTTGCAGGCTCAGCAGGTCCGCAGTGCCTATGTGGCCCTGGCTGTGACCTCCTCTAAGATGTTTCCTGACCTCCTCCCCTGCCCCCTCCACTGCTCCCCTGCTAGTGCAATGGGGGCTGTTGGAGCCTTTGCTCCTTTGCCTCCCCCAGGGAAAGCCGCGTCAAGCTGGGAAGAGGGGGCTGGGGCTGGGCCTCTGAAGCGCCACATCCTGCTGGGAGCCCCACCCTGCCTCTGCCCAGCCCACCTGGCCAGGTGTTGAGTGACAGGCCTGGACTGCAGTGTTTGGGGCTGTGGGGTCTCCATAGGGTGGCCCTGGGTGGGCTGCCGGGCCCCTCTGAAGTATTAAATTCCCGCAGCTTCCTGCTATCTCAGCTTTCCTGAGGCAGTCTTCGTGCTGTGAAACTAAACGCAGACGGACTGTGGGTCTGGGGCAGTCTTTCTAATTTTCCTGAAATCTTAGCTCAGGCCGAATACATTCCTGAGGGTCAGCCCTACCCCTCCACGTCCTAATCTGTGTCTGAGTGTGGGCATTTTAAACGATGGTGCTCAGCTTTTTTCTAATCCCTGTCTGTACCAGACCCTCCTTCCACAGACATCTGGGCCCAGTTTGTGATGAGAGAAGTGAAGATTTCGGTGTCTGGAAGAATCTCTTGGTGTCAAAAAACGGAGGCTCCTAGGCCCGACCTCAGGGGATTCTGATTTAGGGGGCCAAGACAGAGCCTGAGAATCTGGAGTTTAAACAATAAATTTCAAGAGTACCTGGGTCAGGGTGGGAAGGAAGGACTTCGGGTAGATGCCTGGCTGGAATTCTCTGGGAATCTGTGTGCTGACTGGTAAAGTCGGGGAGGACAGTACTTAGCACCTGGCACATCCAAGTGTTCAGTTACGATGGCAGTCCCTGGGGCTTCCACCTCCTGAGACCAGCCTCCTTGGAATAGTCCTGCCCTCCTACCCTGAGCCCACTCTCTTCCTGTGTAAACCATAAAGCCTGGGCTGGCCGTGCAGCTTAGTGGTAGAGGGCACGCCTGGCACGCACAAGTCCCTGCGTTCCATCGTCGGCATTACAAAAACCAAAACTTGAAAAAGACAAAGGCCAAATCCCTTCCTGCTGCCGACGTTCCAACCTTGGTTTCCCTGAAGGGGAGGCTGACCAGCACAGAGGACATTCTCCACCCTGTTTTATGGTGGGAACAGATCCATGGGAATCTGGGTCGAGGCTGGACCTGAACGTGCAGCACCACACCCTGCACTGGGGCTCCCTAAACTTTCCTTTGGGCTCCCCCGGGATACGCACTAGGGAACATGGCAGGACCCCAGGCCCCTTCCAACAAGTCTGGGTGATCTGTCTCAGGCCAGGTGACGGTGCAGAGATGGGCTTCCTGAACAGTTTGTCAAGCCCACAGTTCAACTCCCAGGCCTGGCTCCCTTGGTGCCTGGCAGCTCTCTCCCCCTTATCCCCTGCCATCCCTCAGAGAGGCCTGGAGGAAACGGTGGGCATGGCTGGGTTAAGAATCAGGTAGCACAAAACCCCATCCCGCTGTTCCCAGCAGCTGAAGTGACTCTTTGGATTATCTGCGTGAGTGAGAATGGAACCGGAACAGCGGGGCCCAGATTCTCCAGGAGTCAGTGCGCGTTGTGCCGGGGGCTTTTCCTCTCAGGGAAAGGGCCTCTGAGAGGCATCCTGCCCGTCTAATGGCAGAACTGACCCCTCTCCCTGGAACCTGATAATACCCTGCTCCTGTTCTGCTCGAGAGCCTCTGTGCAGAATGCCCAAACGGCTTTGCCCTCCCCTCCTACAACAGGCATCTCTTCTGTCACTCTTCTAGCCCATCCAGATGCCAACTGTGACTGCCTTGGACCATTCTGCCTGCCGCATGGTAAAGATCTTTCAAGCTCTCTTTTTCAAGTCAGCCTCCCCGAGGAAGCCCTCCCAGATAGCCCCAGCCCATTTGAGCTTTCTCTTATCAGACAGCACCAGACACAAAGTTCTTCCTGCCATCTAAATGAACACGGTGGAGTGGGCACTGGATGCAGAGAAATCAAGGTGCGTGGCCCTGCTCTGCCCCACCTTGCTCAGGGGTAACACTGAGCAAGCTACTTCACCCCTCTGGGCCTTAGTTTCTCTCTTATGTATGGGAAGGAAGTAGTCCCTCCTCACAGGACAGAGGTTTTATAGGCCTGGCTCACCCACTCCAGGGCTCCCATTTTATAGGTGGGAAACTGAGGCCCAGTGAGGGGCACTGTCTCCCAAGGTTCATTTCCCAGTTAGAGATGGGGCAGGCTGCCACCCTGAGGTCAAGGGGCATCACGCTGCATGCTGTGCTTTGGGTGCATTGGCCTGATTTTCCCTGGTGAGAGTCTTCCCGCCTTGGGTACCATCTTGGAACCCCAGGGGCCCAGGAGAGAGCTGGGAGTGGCCAAGGACCTGGCAGTGGACCAGCCAGACATGAGGATGAGCTGGGCAGATTGGGAGGGCCCAGCTTTCTGGCCAGGAGCCCCTAATCTGTGAGGAGTGCAAGGCTGGTGACTGCTCACAAAGGAGTAGCAAAGCACTCCCAGACCGTGACAGGGTGGGACCAGCTAGAAATGATGGAGAGAGTGCAGCTGGTGCCGTGGGAGCAGGAAGCACCATTAGTTAGCAAACAGTCCCTGCTCTGAGCCTCCTGCGTATCCCTCACGGTCCTTGTCCCCATCACTATAGCCTCTTCCCTGAGGTCCTGGGTCCAGCACTAAGGCCATCATCCACTCAGATTGGTGGGCCCATGGCTTCCCGGGAGGTAGGCATTTAGAGTAGCATCCCCAGAAAGAGGCTGCTGGTGACTGCCAACAACGATCCGTTTGGGAGGCTCGTGGTTCAGGCGGGGCGGGGGCAGGCGGCACGGCTCTCTCACCCAGCCTGGCCCTGCACGGCTCCGCCAGTCACATCCTCCCAGAGCAGCTGGCCCCATTTCCATGGTGCCCTGGCCCAGGTTCACAAGGCAGCTTGCTTTCCTCAAGAACCAACTGTGTGCTGAGCAGCCGGAAGCTCCTCTCACACTGCTGGGCAGGTGGGGGTGGCACTTGGGGAGGTTGAGCCAGGAAAGGATTAGTAACCAGGCAGCGGGTAGCTCCAAGCCATGTGCCCAGGCGAGCGGGTAGCGTAAGTGGAAGGCGCTTGGCAGCGTGAACTACCGCTCCCCGCCAAGCAGCAAGCGAGAGGTGGTGGGGAGACTGCCCCTGCATGGAGGAGGAGAGGCGCCTGTACCCCAGATGGTCACAGTGATGTCTGAAAACCTGAAGAGGAAACAGAGGGCCTGAGAAGCACCTGTGCCCTAGGAAGCAGGTATTCGGGGTCCAGGCCCATTGAGGACCTCAGGCCCCAGGGGGTGGACGGGCACACATGCTGGCTACAAGACACCAGCCTAGTGGCTTAGGACAGGAAGCCATCTGACGGAAGCACCGATTGCCAACCCCTGTGGGGCCCTGGAGCAGCAGGGGGTGGGCTTGGGAGACAGAGTTAATCTAAAGAGCATCAGGCCTGCTCCTGCCAGAAGGTGACCTTGTGTGTGGGACAGCTGCCATCCGCACTGGGCATCTTTGGGACACAAAGGGATGGCCTGTGGGCCACTGCCGGCCAGTTTGTGGGCAACCTGCCAGCTCTTTCCTGTGGCTCGCCCTGCTGTTCCCCTAGGGGGCCCAGTCTCCCCTCTAATCCCTTCCTTCCCCTGCATCGCAGGCTCTAAGAACAGGTGAGCGACAGATGACAGGCTGGTCTGTGCTGGATGTGCTGACCAAGAGGCCTTTAGCTGGTGGTCTGTGGCTTCAGTCTTTCCCACCCTGCAGTCTCCTTAAAGAAGTTCTGTAGACAAGGGGCAAGGTGCTAAGACAAGGCGTCCCTGGCTGTCCCTCCTGACATTCAGAGCACGTCTGCCTGTCTCCTCCTGCCACTCAGACTTCTGAACTTAGGATGAGTAGGAGCCCAGATACACAGAGGAAATGAACATGGCCCGGATAAAGCGGTTGGACTGGTGGCTTTGAGGGGGGTCCTCACACCCCTGCCACCACAGCCCACCCTGCTCGTAGCTCACCGGACGCCCTGAGCCCCTGCCTCTGGCCCAGGTTGCTGAGTGTCCCCCTAGCTGCTCTGCGCTCCTGATGGACCCTCAGTGGCTCACCCTGATTCCCAGGGCACCGGAAGCCAAGTCATGACCCACTTCCAATGCGCTTCTTTTGCTGCCTGTGCTTTTGATGCTCCAGAGCCAAAAATGCCACATGGGGCTTGTTTGCCCTCCATGTTTCCTCAACCCTGGGCCTTCTTGAATCCCGAGGGAGGCAGGGTCCCCTGGAAGAGCTGTTTGAGTTACTTCGCACATCCCAAGGCGGCCGGGGTCTCCTCTTGGAACTTACAGAGAGCAGGGGTCATTTTATAACTAAAGTGTTTATCTCCGTTCAGTTCGCTAATGCATTGTTCCGCTCTGGGACCTGCGCTTGCTCACTGGAGGGAGCCTGAGGTCAGGTCTTGGCTGATGGTCTCCCTGTGGCCAAGACCTTTGGCCCTGGGCAAAGGCAGGGGAGGGAGTCACAGGCTCCTCCCCTGGAAGGAGGCGCAAGCTGCCCTTCTTTTGGAGGGCACTTCTGTGGGGCTGGGGTATCACAGTGAATGATCTGGGCGGGTCCTAGCCTCCGGGGCAGCCTGTTCAGGCTCCCAGAGGCAAAGCTGGGCTTGGTCATCTGTGGGGACTCAGGAACCTCGAGGGGCCCCACATCCCTGGGAAGTACTAGATAAAGTGGGGCAGAGGGGGAGCAGGGAAGTGAGCAAGGCCTTCCAGCCTCGGAGGCCCCTTCTGCCTCAATCTGCCACCTGCAACAGCAGTCCTGGGTGGGGGCTCCTCTACCCTGGCACCTCCCCCCGTGCCCCTAAGGCTCACTCAAGTCTCTGAATGGCCCAGATGGCCCCGTGGCAGTTGGCTTTGGTGAGGCCTGGTAGCAGGTGGGAGGAGGGAAGGGTGTCAGTGAAAACCATATAAAAAAATCCAGAAATGTGCATATAAAATCTCGCCCTTGCTGTATTGCCTAAGTCAGTAAGCAGAAAGCACCTTCTTCCTGGAGAAGGATCAAGTCCTCAAAAGGTAGGAAATGTCAAAGTGTCACTTCATTGTCATTTTAAAAAAAAACCAACGAACAAACCCCCCAAACCAAAACCACCCCTGACCAAAATACCCCAGAGTTCACGAATCGCTGTAAACAAACCCAGTTGCAAGGTCAACCCTTCGGGTGGCAGTTGTCGCTGATGACAGTCACTGCAGCATCCGTCCTCCGGTGGGGACTGGTGGGAGCGGGCACCCAGGCAGGTCAGGCCGCTGGAGTGGGGAGCTGCAGGCCTGGGGCGGCCGTCTTCAGGAAGGCCACTTGCCTGGTGGCTGGCCCCTGCTCTCCGCGGCCCAGGAGGACAAGGGCCCCTTTCCAGCCCCCTGAACCAACAGCAGAAACAGTCTCTCATTGGAGTTTTAAAATACTCTCCAAAGACAGAAAACTTCTTCTGTGTGCCCGGTGGCGGCTGGCGTGGATTCTCCCAGAGCGGTTCTGGGGCGACCACCTGTCCACCTGCCCCCTCTGTCTGGTGCTCGACTGTTGAGCGGGGGCCCCCAAGAGTGGCCCAAGGACAGGAGAGAAGAGCAGCCCGTCTATCTCTCCCCTTCACATTTGTTTTCCTGAAAGTGTTTCTTGGCTCTGGCCAGGTTACCTTCCCAGAGGCAGTTGAAGAGAAACTGCTTTTGGTCTCCGATGGGACAAATCGCATGGATCTCCCAAGCCCTATTTTCCTCCCAAGAACCATCATCGCTTTCCTTATGAGAATCCTCTTTTAAAAATATTCCTTATATTTCCCGCCCCCTCCCAGGTCTTGTTTCTTTTTCCCCCGTTCCCTTTTGATTCCATCGTTTGAGCTGCACGTGTTCTTGGTGACGTCTGATGGCTGGAGCGCTGCTTGGTTCTTCCTGCTGTCCGTGGCCTCCTGGCAGGCGGCCGACCCTGCGGAGAACGGAGCACCAGGGGCCGGTGTGGGGCGGAGGGGGCGGCCGGAGGAAGAGGCGAGCCAAGGCAGGCGAGCGTCAAACCTCCACAGACTGGATCTGGTTCATCTGGGCCCTCATCACCTGGATACTGTTCAGGATTTTTTTCTGGTGGCCTGCCAGGGTGACCCCAACCCGCAGAATGTCCCTTGGAAAGAGAAACACGCGTGTTAGGAATGTGAGGGTCTAGAATGGGCTTTGGGCCTGGCAGAGGGGGTTGGAATGGTGGTGGGCAGGTGTCGGAGCTGGAGTCAGTGACTTGATAGGTGGACAGCATTGGACTGGGAGTCAGGGCACCTGGGTCCCCTTTCTTGGCTGTGGGGAAGGAACTCGCACGACCACTTCATTTCCCCCTTCCCTGCTTACCGACCTCAATTTACACACGGCCGGGAGGTGGCAGGCAGACCCGTATCTGAACCTGGATGTGACCCTAAAGCTGCCTGCAGAGATGCTGCCTCTCCCTCCCCTTCTGAAGCGCCCGCCTTGGTGGCTGGGGTGTGTGGGGAGCAGGCGCGAAGGGTGGTGAGCGCAGGTGCCGGGCACTTACTCCATCATCATCTGAGACACGACGTCGAAGGAGGTGAAGCCGGCGCTGGCGAAGCTCTCCTTGTACTGCCCCATCTTGATGGCCTCCAGCCACTCGTCCACCGTGTTAAAGCTGGTGTAGTCCGGGATCGTGCGGTCCAGCAGTGGGAGGTTGATGCTGGGGGGGGCGGGCGACAGCGATGGTCAGGGGTTGCGCTTGTGGGGAGTGTGAGAGTAGGGATTTGCACGCGCGTATCAGCAGAGTGAGTATGGGTGTGTGTGTGTGTGTATTTCTGTGAGCATGTGCACAAGTTTGAACCTGAGTAAATGTGCGAGCATGGGGCAGTGAGTGTGTGCAGGACTCAAAGCTGGGGTGACCTGGCGGGCTTTGCTGAGGTTGCACCACAGGCGTGAGACACAATAACTTAGGAGGTGAAGGACTTTGGCCCAAGGAGTCTCTGGGCACAGCCAGTCCTGGAGCTTGAGGGTACCTCACTGGGTGCTCCTCAGAAGCCCTGCGGGTCTGTGGTTCCCAGAGAGTCACAGGCTGTAGGGTCAGTGGCTGTGCGACAGCCACTTGGGGAAGGCAGTGGTGAGCTGTGGCCTGATGGAGAGTTTCCTGGGTTCCCGGGGGAAGGGGAAGCCCCGGGACACCTGAGCTGACACGCTGGGGCTGAGCCAGTCCCAGCACGGAGACGCTGACGTGAGTGTGGGGGCACGCACGTGTGTGTGTGTGTGTGTGTGTGTGTGTATATGTGTGTGTGGTGTACACTTCTGAGTGTATATGCAGGTGCCTGCGGATGTGCGTAGGTGTGAGAGTCTGGGACTGCATGCATGCATGGGTGTGAGATTGTGCATGTGATCAAACAGGAGTGCTGTCTAGTTGCATGTTCCTCTGTGCGTGTCAGTATCTGTGCCCATGCACGTGCAAGTGACAGCAGCGGGACCAGGTTAGTGGGCGAGAGTGGCTGGGAGGAAACTCGGAGATGAATGCAGTACGGGATTCACCGACTAAGATTCTGGAGCCTTGGTCATTTTCCTTCAGTGCGTCCTCCCTGACCATTATTTCAGAGGTTTCCTCTACCACCCACATTGTCCTTCTCTGGACTCATGTCTGGGCCCCATGCTCCTGGTACCCTGGAGCTGGGACAGAAGCCCAACCAACACCCGTCCTATTGTTCCCACCCCAAGATGCAGCGGCGGGCACCTGCCTGAAGCAGGGGGCAGCCATGGTTTGAGACTCCAGGAGGGAGGGGAGTCGCCCGCTGGGGATGACTGGCACCCAGAGGAGAGGCAGCCTACCCAGAGGAAAGGGGCGCCATAGCTTTGAGGCTGTTGGGGTTTCGGATCATCTTGTCCAACGTGTTGACAATCTGGCCGAACTTGGGCCGGTGGTTGCGGTCTTTCTGCCAGCAGTCAAGCATGAGCTGGTGGAGGGCGCTTGGACAGTCCATGGGCGGTGGTAGCCTGTAGTCCTGCTCAATGGCATTGATTACCTGGGGACGGCATAGAGACGGAGCGGGGCTGGTATCTGCCCTTTCCTAGGCCCATCATATCCCCAGTGTATTGCAGGTTTAACCTATTTGGTTGCCATGAAACCACCTCTACCTGCAGGGTTCCCACTATCTGGCCTGGCAGCTGGGGCCCTGAAGATGCCCCTGTCTAGCTCCCTGCTTGAGTATTTCAGGGCCACTTACAGGTCCAGGTATGCGATAACTTCCCTGTTGGGCCCCACAGCACAGCTTTGAGCCTGGCTGGTGTCCTCTTCCCATGGCCCCCACCTGCTCCTCTGCTAGAAAAAGGAAGCCAGATACTTGTCTCTGTGTATCCTGCCACTGTGACCAGATTCATCTACGACTTAGCCATGGCTCAGCCCCTGCATTCAGGAAGCTTTTTCAAGTTCTTCCTGTCTGGATTTTTGCAAATGAAAGTTCCTTGAGTCCCTTTAAATACCTCGCTATGGAATATCAGCAATCTTTCTGCCTAACATCCCTCTCTATGGCTTCTCCACCCACCCTTCATTATCCTACCTCTGGGCCTTTGCACAGGCTGTTCTTTCCACTTAGGGGCCCTTATTCTCCAAGTTCCACCTGCGCTGTGAAGACTTTGTGGCTGATTTTGTCCCAACCTTAATGCCTACAGGGCTCAGCATATTCCTTCTCCAATTTAGCACCTGATCATGAAAACTCCTGATAATTATGTCTGGTTCCATGAATTGTTTTGTGTCCCAGTTAGGTGGTAAATACCTGAAGGACAGACATGGCCTCATTCTGAGCTGGTCACAAGGTATATACATCCTGAATATTTACTAATTTGTGAATGGGTGACCTTTCCTACTCCCTACCCTCTGGAGAGCCCAGGGTCCCGTGCAGACATCTGAATCGGTCAACAGCAACCTGCATGCAGCCACACCCTCCATCTAAGAGGCCCTGGGAGATTGGCACAAGGCTCCATCTCCCCTTTTCCCATCTGCTTGGTCAGAAAGGCTCTGCCCGCCTCCAGGAGACTTACGTCCTGGTTGGTCATGTCCCAGTAAGGCCGCTCCCCGTAGGACATCACCTCCCACATGACGATACCATAGCTCCACACATCACTGGCTGAGGTGAACTTCCGGTACTGGATGGCTTCAGGAGCTGTCCAGCGGATGGGGATCTTTCCCCCCTGGGGGACAGAATGAGAAGACCGATGGGTGGGAGGTTGAGCTGTCTGGCTTCTTAATACTCTGACCCTGTACTCTGCACTGCACCAATCTCATGAAGCATCTCGTGCTCCAGACTCACTGTGCTGCTTCAGATTACTGGGCATTTGCACATGCCATTCCCTCTGCTAGGAGTATCTTTTCCCACTTTTCCAGCTGATACCTCCTTTTTCTCCTCCTTGAATCCTTCTGCAAGCCTCTCTCTGGGATCCAAAGAGTTGCTGGTCCCTCCAACCTCACAAGCCCGCCTGGTGTCTCTCCACCGAGGAGGAGATTTCCAGCATGGCACGGTGTGCCCAGCGCTGACCTGCCCAGCTGTCCTGGCACAGCCTCTAAGGTCTTTGAGGGCTGGGCCTGAGCTTTCTTCCTTTTGGGTTAAAACCCTTCAGGTCTGACTGCTGTGAGTGCACATCCTGAGCCTGGATGTTGGAGTCTCCTAGCTCTCCAGCACAACCTGCGTCCAGGTCACCCGACCTGACCATAAGAACGTGCTGGCCCAGAAACCCTTCTGGGCCCTCCTGCTCTCAGCTTAGCTGTCACCTGCTTCATCTGCCTTGTCTGTTTCCCAAGGCTAGGTGTCCCAGCTCATGGCTCTGTCATTTCATATTGCTCTGCACTCTGTGTCCCTGACCAGCCTGAGAGCTGCAAGAGGGCAGGCGCCACAGTTTATTTCCTTCCCTGTCTCCAGGGCCCAGCACAGGTGTCAGGGAAAGCACAGTGTGTGGTGGGGGGATGGATGTTCATGCCCTCTCCTGTGGTGCTGTGGCTCCCATGTTCCCACCTGCATCTTACCAGGGCGCTGGTGTAGGTGGGGTCTGAGGTGTCATCCTCCAGAAAGCGTGAGAGCCCAAAGTCCGACACCTTGCAGACCAGGTTGCTGTTGACAAGGATGTTGCGGGCAGCCAGGTCGCGGTGCACGTAGTTCATGTCTGCCAGGTACTTCATGCCCGCTGCGATGCCCCGCAGCATGCCCACCAGCTGGATGACTGTGAACTGCCCATCGTTTTGCTTTGGGAGAAGTAGAGGAGCTGAGTCAGCGGAAGAGCAGGCAGCAGAGCTCTGGATCCCGTCACAGTGGGGAGCTAGAGGGGGCCCCTGGCACCTTCGCACTGGACTGCCTGTGGGAAGGACTCAGATGCCCTTTGACCTCAGAGAGGCCCATGAGGCCAACTTCAGGAAGGTGAGAGGACACAGGCTTTGGGTCAGACACACCTTGCTTGACTCTGGCTCTGCCTTGTCCTGACTGCAGCTTTGGACACAGAACCTAACCTCTCTGAGTCTAGTTCCTCACCTGTGTGTTAAATGGGGACGCCATCTACCTCCTAAGGCTGTTTTAAGTTAGACAGGGAAATGTATGGAAGGGATCTGGCATATGCTTCATGAGTGATTGCTCCATGACAGCCCAGGGGCACAGTTCTGATGCCTAACTCTCTGTCTAGCTGGTTGGCTAGCTGGATGGCCCATTCCTGAGGGGTCTTGGAACTTTTCTCTGGTGGCCTTGTGCTCTGAGGACATCCTCACAGCCTATTCATCTTTGGGGAACTCCAAAATCTGCTAGATGAGGTGTCAAGGTACCTGGTTCCAGTCTGGGCTCTCACCTTGACCCTCTGGCAGGCCTGGAGCAAGGGCTCCCTGTCTTTGAGCTCAGGTTCTCCTGTGCATAATGAGAAGGCTGCCTAAGAGCACAGATGGAAACAGATCTCAGGTGTGTGCCAACTATGAGTGACTGCTGTGACACTCTGGGAAAACACACTGAAGATTCTGAGATGTTCTGAGCTCAGTGGAAGACAGTGCTAGGGTTGATTAGTAATGCCTGCCACAGGGAGGGAAATGGATGGCAGTGACACCTATGCTTGCCTAGAGTTTTCCCAAGATCCTTCAGGCTCTGACAGTATGAAGTTACGTCCCTCACTTCTCCTCTTCCCCCTCTTGGCCCCGACATGCTGGGCTCTCCCTACCCGGAGGAAGGAGTCCAGGGAGCCATTCTCCATGAACTCGGTGATGATCATCACAGGCGTGCTTTTGGTGACAACCCCCTCCAGGTGGATGACGTTGGGGTGGTCAAACTGGCCCATGATGGATGCTTCGCTCAAGAAGTCCCGTCGCTGCTTCTCCGTGTAGCCCGATTTGAGCGTCTTGATGGCCACAAAGATCTCTCTCTTGCCTGGCAGCTTCAGGTGGCCACTGCAGACCTCTCCAAACTCCCCTAAGACAAACACACCAAGAGAAGCAGCATGTCACTTGCCGGGTGAAAGTGCCACCTCCCTGTTCCTGTCACCTCCACCTTTGGAGCCAGCAAGCGCTCTTTCTTTTCAGCAGTCAGTTCATCCTCTCAGACACAAAACTCCTTTGAGAAGCCCCCGCCACCTCTGGGAGCAGAGAGCAAATCCTTCATGCACGTCCTGTGCTATCTGGCTGGGTGTGGGGGGATCTGCGGAGGTGGAGAGAGGGACCTGGGAATGGTAGAAGGAGAGTCCTGGGAAGTGGTTCTAGATCTAGCTCTACCTCTGACTTGCTGGGCAAACTTCTTCATAGCACCATGCCTCAGTTTCCTTTTCTGTCCTTACTGATGACCTCTGAGGGCCCTTCTTCCTTGAGCATTCTGAGCCTTCAGGTTTTGAGGGGGAGGTCCTTTGTGGCCCTTGTCCCCCATCTTACCCTCTGCCCCTGGAGTACGCTGGGGTGGTCTCATCCATTGCTGATGCCACCTACCTGCTCCGATCACCTGCTCGATTTTGACACAGGATATGTCAATTTCCTTGGCAAACTCCCGCACTGCCTCGTTGGGGTCCTCATAGGTGAAAGGGTCGATGTAGATCTTCATGCCCGGGGTCACTGGGGGACAAGACCAGGGGTGGTCACACGGACTGATTCACAGTGTGTACAAATGGAGAAGCCCATCCCTCCAAGGAGGCACAGACACTCCCATGTGGCTCCCGTAAGAACCGGGCATCCTCCTGCAGGTCACTTGGTCTTTCTGGGCCTCATGGAACAAGACCGGCACTGAGTAAAAAGGTGAGAGGAACACAGAGACCAGCAGCGGTGGCCAGTAGATTGTCCTAACTAGTCTTGTCCAACTTTCATTGATTAGTAATGACTTTCTGGGGCAACTAAAAGACTCTTGGGATTGACACGAGTGTGAGCCGCTAAGAATGAGAGGCTCAGTAGGTTTGCTGGCTTTCAGATAGTGAATCAGGGCTGCCGAGTAAAGCAAGAGGAAGAGGGAGGGCTAGAGCCAGACTACAGGAAGATTCTTGGGGTCCTCTGAAGGCGGCCTCCTCCTTGTCTTTCCAGGCCCACTTGAAGCTTCGCTACCACTTTGGGTCTCTTCTCAGCGGCCCAGCCCCTCTGAGGCAGGCCCCACAGCCTGAAGGGGCACCTCATTCACCAGGGCCTGAGTGCCCATGGCTTTGGGACCCACCTCCTAGCCACGTCCTAAGCCTTTCTGGATCCCTGACTCCCTGGTGATCAGCATGAGGCTGGACATGTGGCCTGCTAATCTGATTCCTGCTGTGGTATAGATTTTTAAGTTTTTGATGCAGACGAAGAAGATAACCTGGACATCAAAGACCCAGTTCTGACCCCGCACTGAGTCTGCAAAATGCTCAGAAGGAAAGGAAAGATGATCCATCCTACATTCCTCTTCCCAGATCTGCTCTCTGCGGCCAGAACTTCCGGCCCTCTCCCAGGCCTTCCTCTGGCCCTCCTGGCTCCTGCCCATATTTCCCCCGGCTCTGGGAGCTGTGACACAGAGGGAGTTGCTCTAGGAGTTGCTCTGGCAGCTGGAGCCCCTGCATCACCCAGGCCTGGCTAGATGATGAGCAGGACCGTCAACCCGTTAGTTGGCTACTCTTAGCCTCTATTTCAGACATTTCAGGAATCCAGGAATTGAAGCCTGTAACACAGGGGCTGGCAAACTGGCTCACTGCCTGATTTTTAAATAAAGTTTTATTGGAACACAGCCACATTTATTCCTTTGCCTGTGGCTGCTTTTGTCTCCCAGCTGCAGAGTTGGTTAGTTACAACAGGGACCCACAAAGCCTAAAATATTTACTTGCTCTGGCCCTGTACAGAAAAATTTGCCAACCACTGCTCTAACACTTGCTATCTTTGGGTGTTTGTCCAGCCCTTGAGGTCAGGGGTTGTTCACTTGGGCCTGGGTGGGGGTGTCTGGTAACCTCCTGGAATGGGGTGCATTTATTACTGTTGCCTTTTTGGTTTCAAAAAATAATTTACATTCCTTATAAAGTCCAAACATTATGGAAATAAGTATCGTTGAAATTTTCTTAAAAATCCATCCCTAAGTATAGACCTCTGGATCTTTCTATCTTCGAATGTTGGACACATTTCCACACAGACTTATTTGTGTTTTTCTGGCTGTATGAACCAAAACTTTCAAGAGAGTCTTATAGGAGTCTGAGACCACTGCCCCCAAAAGAGGTTAAGATAAACCATCACCCAAGACTGATCGCCTGGGAGGAGGCAGTGGTGCAGCCTCTCCTCCTTTCCCCATCGCCTGGCACACTGCATGGAGCTCCGCACACAATAGACACTCGGTGTCTGGAGAGCGGAGAGAATCCAGATGACAGAGATGAAATAACAACAACAGCATCTGTCACTTGCTGAGTCTTTTGTCTGTACCCAACACGAGACTCTCTATATGCATTACCTCGTCTATTCCTCCCAACAGTTCTTGGAGGAAATGATAATCATCTCCATTTCACTCAGAAGGAAACTGCAGCTCAGAGAGGTCAAGTAGTCCAGCCAAGGCCACACAGCTGGAATCAGGGCTGTCAGACTTGAGCCCAGGCCTGCTACTCTGGATCACTGTGATCACTGCTTCCTGGATGTGGCAGGAAGAGAGTGAGAAGGCGCCTGCAGGATGCAGCCATGAGCCATGACTTCCTGCTTCCTCGGGCCACCCGGGGCCAGCTCTGGGAGGTGCTCTTTCTTGCTCACACTCAAGGGATGGCCCATGGGTGACAGTGACTGGCTTTAAGCCTCTCTCTCCACAGAACCGGCAGGTCAGCTGGGAGGGAGGACAGGAACAGGCGGGCTCAGCGAGCTAAGGGCAGCTCAAAGCCCACCGAGGCATCGTGGCTGCCAACATTGGATGCCATCCCCAGGCCCTGGCAGAGGCTTGGTCAGGAAGGGCCTCTGTCACTCCTGGGAAGATGCCTGCTCCCTGCATCCCAAGCTCTCCAGGATTTGTTCCACTGCTCCCTGCTCCTGCTTCCCTAGTCTGTCATGGTTTGGACCTGGTTGCCCCCAAAGGGTCATATCTTGGAGGCTGGGTCCTAGGTATACAGGGGTGGTGGGACTTTTAAAATGTGGAGCCTAGTGCAAGGTAACTGGTCACTGACAGTTTAGGTCTCCTAAGAAGTCATAAAAAAGCAAGACAGTCTCCCTGCCTCCGGCTTTCTGTCTCTCTGCATGACCGTTCCCTCTTGCATGTGCTCCCACCATAATTTTATCCACTACTGAGCCCTCGCCAGAGCCAAGCTGATGCCAGTGCCATGCTACCAACCTCCAAAACTGTGAGCCAAATAAACCTTCTTTATATTTTACCCAGCCTCAGACATTTTGTTATAGCAATGGACAGTGGACTAATACACCAGCTAAAAGGAGTTATTTACCCAGGGGTTCCAGGCACACTTCATCATTTTTTGCCTCTGTGTTTTTGCTCATGTTGTTCTCACCACCCAGAACACTCTCGTCTTCTTTGTGGCCAGATCAAATGCTACCTCTGCGAAGCCTGCCTGGATTTCTCCAGGGAAGACCCAAGGCCTTCTCCTCTGGTTCCCACCACTCCATAGCCCTGATGTCTGTGTGACTTTCCTGCTTTGTACCAGGACTCCCAGCTACACATCTCCACTCTCCCTGCCCTTCCTCCTGGGACACTCTGCTGCCTGTCTCCCAGGAGGACAGAGGCTGTGTCTCTGCTAAATTCCAGGGTGTGGCACTTAGTGCTCAATAAATGCTTATTGAAAATTAACAATTATTCATTTATATTCCTTCTTCCCTCTCTTCACCTGCTTGGGGTCATGAACACCGTTGACAAAAGCTCCTTGGAAAAGTGAGTGTGTGTCCACTCCCATGTTCTACACCTAATTTTGGGGTGCTAGAGGCCTTGGAAGCCTTAAGGGCCCATGAACCTCAAGTTAGAGCCCTTGCTCTAGAATGCTGGCTCTAGAGTACATATGTGAAGGTGGTATACAGCAGATGCCTAATAGATGCCTCCTGAAGTTTATACACAGAGTGGATTTACCAGATACTGGGCCCTGTTTATAGTTTTTGAGCCAATTAATCCTCCCAGTGACCCTACCATGTAGATGCTTTTATTAGGCTGAACCCGATGAAATATTTGACTGTTTCTAATCTACAAAAACAGCAGTTTCATTTGGTCCAACCTAATATTATCCCCATTTTTCAGATTAGGAAAATGTGGCATAAGAAGGTGAAGTGATGCTGCAGGGGTGGGGGCGTGGACACAGCTAGTAACAGCAGTGGTGGGGTCTGAACCCAGGTGGGTTCCCGAGTCTACACCCCATGCGTCCAGCCAGCTGCTACGTTCTTACTGTGCTCCACCAGCCTGACTTCTTGCACCAGAGTTGGTGCCTGGAGGCCAGAACTCACACAGGCCTGAGTCCAGGGGCCATGTGCTAACCCAAGCCTGGACAAAGACCTCCGCAGCCCTCAGGAGTCAGCAGTACACAAAACAATGGATGATTCAGGGCTGTCAGGGCCACTGACTATCACCCTGAACCTGGATGAGAGCTTCAGGAGCTGGGAGGAGCCATGTGAGCAGAATCCTGGGTTTGAATTCTGACTCTGCCACTGATGACAGTCACAAACAAAATCCCTCATGAGTTTGAATCCAGGATCAACTATCCACTGTGTTTGATCAGGCTGTGTGGCCTGGGGCATGTTATTTAAATGCTGCCTCACTTTTCCATCTGCAAAGTGGGTATAATAAACATCACCTTTGGCTGGAGGGGACAGCAAACATTAAATGAGAGCATCTGTTTAATGTGCCCATACAATTGTCAGGAAATAGAAAGCAACACATAATTATGTGTTGTAAAGAAGGGCTGGCTGTTATTAAGTGTTGTTACTATGAAGCACTTTGCCATCCCTTAATTCATTTAGTCCTCACAGCCCTGTGAAAGAAGCATCGTTCCTGCTACATCCCATATAAAAATACCATGGCTCAGAGAGGTCTGATCACTTCACCAAGGTCACCCAGCTGGCCAGCGGCAGAGGGGGGGATGAACAACAAGGTCAGTCTCTGAGGCTCCGCATCCAGGACCATGAAGCACCTGCTCACGGATGGAAAACACGAGCCCGTGCGGGTGACTGTCAGCCGGTCCCATGCATCCCCGGGCCTCAGCTTCCTCCTCTGGCCTGGCCACATGGGGCTGCTGGGTGGATTTGGGATCATAGGGCGGGCAGAGCTTTGAAAAGAACAAAGTCGTGCTCAGCTCTGACATTCCAGTGCTGGACGTGCGGAGCAGGGAAGTCAAGCTTAAAATGTATTGATCTAGGAACAAACCCTGGGTCCTATTTTTAAAACAAACCTCACCTGTTTCCTTGTTATTGACTCACTCACGCTCCAAATACCCGTGCTCCCAAATGGCTCCAGGTGGCAGAGCCCGAGAGCTGTCTCATTCTGGCTCTGCAGAATGGAGACAGCACAAGGTGGCTGAGAGCTCTTGCTTTGCAGCCAGACAGCTGGTTCAGACCCCGGCTCCTTCCCCGAACAGCTGTGTGGCCTCTGTGCCTAGCTTCCTCAACGTGGGAAATTATAAGGATCGAGTGAATAAATACACATTAAGCATTAAAACAATTCTTGGCACATGGAATGCACTCAATATGTACAGCCACATCCACGATCATGATCTTATGACTGCGGGGAGAGAGTGATGTAGTTTATGGCTTGTTTTTGGTGCACAAGTGATTTTTATTTCTGTGCAGCTAAATGTGTCTATCTCTCTGTGTGTGTGACCCTTCCATTGCTTTTCTGCTCAGAAAGGCCTCTTCTATCTTCCTATCTGTGAAGTAGTGACTGCTGGGAAGTTTGAGTGCTGTAATCATTTTTATACTTATGTTCCAAACTAGTTCTACGCCCGGGAACTTTTGCTTCCATGGTCTTAGCCAGAGGTTTAATATCTAGAACGCCTCGACTCTGCTGCTTTTTTCTTGCATGTCCCATGTTCAATCCCGCAGCAAATCTAGGGCCAAAAATAAGTCAGAATCCAACCACTTCCCACCACTTGCACCACTGCCACCGCGGGCAGCCACCAGCTCCGCCCTGGGTTATTCCAGCAGCCACCTCGCTGGTCTCCCTGCTTTGACCCACCCTCCGCACAGCAGCCAGAGCAGTCCTGAGGACTGTAACTCAGAGCACATTAGTCCTCTGCTCAGAACCTGCTGTGGCTCCCCATTGCACGCCCTGCCACGCTGACGAGAGTCTGCCTGTAGTAGCTCCCTTCCATCTCCCACCTCCACCTCACTCGGCTCCAGTCACACTGGCTTCTTTGCTCTTCCTGAAACCTGCCAGGTGAGCTCCAGCCTCAGGGCCTTTGCACAGTCTCTCTCCTCCGCTTGGAATGTTCCTTCCTCAGACATCTCCGAGCAACCTATTTCCCCAGCACTTTTGTATCTTTGCTCAGATAAAGCCCCCTAGGTGAGGTCAAGTTCAACTCCCCTACTTAGAAATGCAGCTTGCCCTGTCACCCACAACTCTTTGTCTACTATCTTGCTCTACTTTACAATCTCCTATAGCACATGTAACTCATACACCAGCATGCCAGGCATTTATGACACATCTCCTTACTCCCTGCCCCTCCCACTGCAGCATCAGCTCTACGGAGGCCAGGATGTGTGGTTTGTTTCCTTGTTTCCCCAGCATCTGGGGCACTGGCTAGCACTTGAAGGGGACTCACTGCAGCTGTGTGAGAAATGAAGGCTCTGATGGGGGTCCTCACCAGGGCAGCCACGGGAGGAACCCTAGGGTGCCTCACTGAGCACAGTTTGAGAATCGACACTGGACTCATTTGGAATGCCTTCTGCTGAATGAGCTGAAATAAGCACTAAGCTCTCCCCTTGGTCCCCCTCTTCCCTGCTTCCTGATTATCGGTTCTGCCACATGGAGGTCAAACGCCGAACGGGCTCTATGATCTGCTTTTCTCTCCGGTCCTTCTGGCCCATCTGCTCTTGGTATTTAGGGCTCCCCACACACCCAGCGCTTGCTTGATGCAGGAAGAGACAGTGAGGGGAAGCAGCTACCGCAGGACTCAGTGGGGAGGAAGGACAGGGCGGGTGGAGCCCCAGAGAGAAAGAGAGCGACAAAGGGAGGAAAGGACGCTGCTGCCCGTCTCTCTCCCATCCAGGCCAGAGCCTGGGTCCCCATCTCCTCAACCATTCCAAGTTCTTATTCTGTAGCTGTGTCTCTAGTGCCTACTATGTGCCGGGTACTGCTGGTGCTGGTGCTGGGTGCTGCAGGGGGCAGTGGGGAACAGGAGGCACAGCTTCAGGCCTCCACACGACCAGGAACCAGCGCCACACGCGGCCTGGTGAGGGGGGCTGTGCGCATCGGACGAGGCCTACACCTGCCCCGAGCAGGTGGCTGAGGAGCCGGGGAGGGATGAGCAAGAGCAACAAGGAAGAGGGCAGGGTGCAGCGTGCTCTGGGTGGAGGGCCGGCAGGTGAGAGCGAGCTTGGCACACCCAGGGGCCAGCCTGACAGCCCATCTGCTGCAGTGCAGCAGGAGGAGGTAAACGCAGGTCGGGGTGGGGTCCCTGGGGACCGGCAGGGAAGGGCCTGGGGCTGGGCCGGGCTGGGCCGTGTACGTACTGTGGCCACTGGTGTAGTGCTGCAGCTTGTCCGTGTACTCCGAGTCGGCACGCTCAAACCCCCGTCTTCTGGAACAAAAGCAAAGGGCTGGAGCCACCTGCGGGCACCCCCGGGAGCTGGGAGCCACAGGAGCTGGTAGGGAGAGGGTGCACAGGCCCTCACCGCCACCCCTCCGAGAGAGGGCTTTCTGCCTGTCTCCTGCCTACAGCCTCACCCTTCTGGCCCCGCCGGCCCCGCCCCACCTCTCCCATCTCCAGCGCAGGCTTGCGCTTTTTCCTGTCATCGTTCCAGCCAAGCCCCTTTCAGAGAGCAAAGTCCTCTTCCAGCGCCAGGGGCTTCTGTCCATCTGACCGCATGGTGGGTCCGGTCTGTCTGAAAGTGGGGGACTCTCTCAGCAGGAAGAGAATCTCTGCATTGTGCCCACTGGAGGTCAGGAGCTGGCTCTTCCTCCTTCGCCGGTGCTGCGCTGGCCACTTGGGGTGCTATCTCCCCACGCCTGTCCTGGCTGAGTTGCACCACCTTTCTAGTTCTTCATCCAGGGGCCTCAGTTCATGCAGGAAAGTGGGGGGACCTACACTCCCTGCCCTGCAGCCTGTGGCATCTTGCAGTCACTCTGCCCACTGTTTTGAGATGGTCCTTGGTGTTACCCATTGGGACTGCAATGGGCCACTCTTTTTCCCTGTGGACTTGTCAAGGGCTGTGGCTTACCAAAGGGAGGGATGCTAGTGGCCGCAGGAATGTGTCCCGGCCTAACTGAGTCCCCCCCAGCTCAGGTAGGCTCCTCTGCTCATAAAGGCAGCTTGGGAACGGCTGGCTGGCTGGAGAGAGCCGTCTGGGAAGGCCAGGCCGAAGCAGGCTCGGGGACACCCACCTGTTGCACACGATGGCGATGACAACCACGGCAATGAGGAAAACCAGGCCGGCGGCCGAGGAGCCGATGATGAGAGGCAGCTTCTCCTGGATGCTGGTCTGGTACTCAGCTGCAGAGAAAAGTACGGCGGGTGGTCTCAGCCTGGCGCTGGGGGGCCTGACACCACCCCACCATCCTGCTGGGTCTCCTGGAACCCCAAGCTCTGATCCTGCTTCTGACGGGGCACCTGTCGCATGTCCGGGTGGAGAACGAGCATCACATACTCACAAGTAGCCTGGGACAAGTCCACGGGCTGCTCCAACCCTCAGTTTCTCATCTATAAAATGGGCACTGCCATGCTCACACCCATGTTGTGTGGCAATGAGTAGTAATAACAGCTGATGCAGACCGAGGGGCAGTTCAGAGTTCAGGGCCTAGCGCCAGACTCCCTGTGTGTGAATCCCAACAATGCCACCTGCTGCCTGTGTAAACCTGCGCTCATTCACTTCTCTGCGCCTCAGTTCCTTTGTCTCTAAAATGGGGACAATGACTGCTCCTATCCCCTAGGATTGTGCCCAAGGCTCTTCAAACAGCAGCTGGCAAGAAGCAAACACGCAGGGAGTATGAGCCACCACTGTCACTAGTCGTTGCAACTGGCTGTCACTGGGCCAAGTATGTGACAGATCTGGTTCAATTCTCAGAACAGCGCTATAGTGTCCTTCCCACCCCTGCTCTGTTTTACAGGGCAGGAAGCTGAGCTTAGTGAGGTCACAACTTGCCTGGGTCCGGAAGGGGCTACAACTGGCATGTGAACTCGGGTCTGTGCCACCCACGACCCAGGATGAATGAGAGTGTGCGTAAGATGCGCTTAGCTTGGCCCGGCTCTTGGGTACCATTCAGCACCTTCTCCACGCCATCAGCACCGTTATCATTCTCAGTTTTGTTATTATTACCCCTCTTCTGCCTCCCTGACAAGAGGAGGAGCTCAGCAAGATCAGGGATGAGGTCAGCTCTGGGTCCTTGGGGCCCGCACACAGCCTGGTGTTTTCCAGGGCCCCAGCGCGCATGTGTGGAATTAATAAAGGAATTTCTGACAGTGCCGCCAGTCCCCAGTCAGTGAGCTCATCCAACATGAGGAAGGGCTGAGAAAGGTGGAAGCAGGTGGTCATGAAGAAGAGTGAGGGTATATGGAGAGGTGGGTGCTAGAAGAGAAGGGGGAGACAGGGAGGGCTTCTATGGAAGACAAGAATTTAGGGGTCCAGGAGCCTCTGTGATGTTCAACCAGACAGACGCCTAGGCCCATGCCCTGTGGTTGAACAGATGCTAAGAAGGGATGCTGGGGTCTGGTCTAGGTAAAGGGGCTCAGCAGCTCCACTGGCTGGTGACAGCCAGACCTATGACAGCAATAACCATAACTACTATTTAGTGAGTGTTAACTACGTGCAGAACCTAATATCAACACTGAGCTAGGTTCCTCATCATTAATTTTGATGATGACAATGATGACACAGTTGCTATCATTCCCTTTTATGGATGAGAAAACTGAGGGTCACAGAGGTAAGGTGACACAGAGGTGACATAAGCCACCCAGAGCTGAATCATCCCAGGAATCTCCATCTGTCTGGTTTCAGAGTTCACACTCTTTAATGTGTGCTACTCCTTAAAGATTGTTAAAGCAGGTACTGCGCTCAGAGACCATGTAGTTCCAGATTGGAAAACACGCATAGTACACAGACTGGGATATCTAATTCCATGCCTGGGGCAGACATTACTAATCCATCCTAGCACTTCTTCCTACTGAACTTTGGTGTGGCTTCAGAATTCTCAATCCCACTCCAAGTCATTGGAGTTGAGTGTAGATATAATATATCTACCCTCTCAGATAGAATACAGTGCTTTCATTTTATAGATGAGAAGTATCTGGAGCAGGGCGTGGAAGTGAATTGCTCAGAGTGGCTCTGCAAGTTAGGGTTGAGTTCTTGACATCTGGAAGAGGGGCGTCCCTCTGATCTGCACAATGGCTCCCTAGGAAAGGGGCCCTGCACTGGTTCTGCGTGTGTGTGGGGGGTGCCCTCCTCTGGAGCCCCGGACTTGGCTCACCTTCGGTCATGGTCTGGAAGTACATCTTGCCGCTGTAGCGCCCGTAGCCTGCCACGGTGCGTGCCCGCACCTGGAAGACATAGATGGCGCCGGCTTTGAGGCCCTGCACAGTGACCGTGTTGGTGGGGCTTTTTATGGCTGTGGCGTTGTACTCACTGAGCTCCTGCCGGGAACAGAGAAGACAGTTAGTGAGGGTGTGGCCTGGAGTGGGTCCAACCCCTGCCCATGGCCTGTACATCCGGGCAGGTCTGGCCAGTGGGTAAATATCTGCGGCTCCTCATTCGTCACACCTCCCTCGTAACTGATTTACAGCTGTGCCCTATTGCCAAGTGACTTCCACTGCTTCCGACAAAGGAAAGCACTTTTTCTCTTTCCTGTGGATGCTTGATTTGGCCACGTGGCCTGCTCTGGCCGTTGGAATGCTCTAGTGGATGTTACGCAAGCTTTCCATGGGCTTGCTGGTTTGGTCAGGTTTCCTGTGCTTCCACCATCTGTCCTAAGACAGGCGTGCCCCAAGTAAGAGCTGGTTTAAAATGAGAAACCTGTCAAGGTTTTTGACTCAACTCCTAGGCTGAAACAGGGCACCCTGGCTAACTCCCAGACACAAATCTATGAGGAAGAAACAACCCCTTGTATGTCATTGGGTTTGGGGGAAATATTTGTTTTATGGCACAATCTCAGCAATAGCTGATGAATACACATGTGTACAGACCCAAGGACTGGGCTGTAAGTCCTTGGAGACAGCAGGAGAGGCCCATATCATCACTTCCGCTCCTGCCTCCCTGCCCCATACCTTGACGGGTTACCTGGAAGAGTCCCTTTCTAGGTGCAGCATACTTGGGCGAGATGAAAACAGAGGTCCAAAAGGGGGAAATGATGCTTAAGCTCACACATATCAGTTGTTGGCTGCTTTGGGACTGCCTGGAGCCGCCTGTAATGTCCACGCCTGGGGGTGGCCAGATCCTAATGTTCCCTCCTTCAAGGGATGGAAAACACCAGTTCTGGCCTCCTGCAACTGCCAGGGGTAACCCAAGGAGTCTGGGGCAGGGCAGATTCATCTCTGCAGCTGGATGCAGATGTAGTTCAACTGGATGCAGGGGATGTACACTCAGGCATCTGCCAGCCACTCAGCAAACCTTCTCTAAGTACTTTTTTGACATTGAGCCTGGGCTAAGCTCTATGGTCCCACAGGGGGCTAAGGCACAAGCAAGCCCTGGCCCCAGAACTCAGTCTAGAAAAGCAAACAATATAAGGATTCCAATCCTTTGATGATGATGATGATGATTATTTGGTGCTGGAAATTGAACTCAGGACCTTCCATTTGCCAGGCAGGCACTTGTGCCACTGAGCTAGAGCCCCAGCCCCTCCTTTGCATATTATGAACCTGTTTTAGACACTGAGGAAAACATATAAACCCTTATCCAGAAAAATGCATGTGTCCATTCATACGTGCATACATCACAGAATGCACAGAGCTCTTGAAACCGCTCCCCCCAAAATAGTGAAAATTAGTGTGAGCAATATTTGGGCATTATCATGTAGAAGTTAAGACCACAGAGGGGAGCCCGGTTTCCTGGGTTCACATCCTAACTTTATAACTTATTAACCCTGTGACCTGCAGCAAATTTCTTAACTTCTCTGCCTCTCGTTTTCTTCATCTGTAAACTGGCAATAATTGTAATAATAGTGGCTACCTCAAAGCATGGTTTGGAGGAGAAAATCCATCAGTGGGTATGAAGCATTCCCACCGGCCGGGCAAGCACTGTGAACTGGGGGCATGGGAGCTGCCCTGGGTGAGGGCTGCGGTGTAAATCAGGGCAAGCTCCCTGGAGAGTGGCTGCACTAGATTCATCTTAAAGAACACAGGGAGTTACCCAGGGCATTCCTGGAAAGGAGCAGCAGGTGCATGGGGAGGGAGGGGAGAAGGAGCTTGGGATGCGAGGCTGTAGAAGGGCTGACCTGGAGGTGTCTACCTCTGTACCCCCATGCCAGGGGGAAGCAGGTGTGCCTCCTCTGGGGTGGAAATTGACAGGAAGTTGTTTCCTGAGCCAGGTCATCTGCCTCCTCCTCAAGGAAGCCGTCTTGATCTTCACAGCCACTCTTTGTCAGTCTCTCCTGCCATGTCCCCAGTATCCTTTTGGCTCCAGATGTCCCCAACTCCCTCCTCCCCTGAGAGGCCACCCGATGTTGCGCACACCAGTACAGGTTGCACAGTTAAATCTGGGTTTCTGATAAGCACTAAACCTTCTTAGTGTGGGTATGGTCGCATTTATCTTCTCTGAGGATGTAGGTCCCATAGGTCTGGGGACACATTGCTCATCTCCAGATCCCTAGGGCCAGCACACAGTAGGTGCTCCCTAAATATTGACATAATGAATAATAACGAAGAGCAAACTATTAAAAACCTCTAAGATCCTGGATGCAGTACCAGAGTTGACCACTAGGAACCGCTGTCCAACAGGGATCTCTGGGTGAGAAAAGAGTCCGATTGTGCCGATTGGGTAGGTGCCCACAGGAATGTTGGAGGTTTTGAGCTCCTGATTATGCGTGTGTGAGAGGGAGACAAGAGCTAACTGCTGGTGCCATCGGTGTCTCAGGAGAGCAAGGAACCAGCCTGAGCGGTTCCCTCTTGAAAGCCTGGCACAGGACAGAGCCGGAGATTAGGAGCTATTTTCTAATACCGGTTCTTCCCCTTCGTTGCGTTGCGGCTGTGGGGAAGGACAGCTCACTTCCCTGAGCCTCTGGTTTCCATTCCGGGAAATGGAGCAATAAATGGCAACCCCTCAGGGCTGCTGTGAATAGAAAATTTGATCAGGTGTGCGTGGCACACTGGGAATGCTTAGCGACATCCGTTCTTTCCGCCTCTCCTCCCTGGAGTATGTCTATCTGAACAGTGATTAAACACCAGAGGCGATGGGAAGAAATTCGGTCTGAAATCCACTAGTACTTTGAGTCCTTTCTGGAGATGTAGGGCCAATGAGGCAGCAGGTGTGTGTATCCTCAGCACCCCCAGCCTCATCTCTAAAGTGGGATAGCAGCGGTAGATGTGGCCCTGTGTGGGTAGGAGATTCAGCAGGAGGACATGGATAGAGCTTCTAGTGTGAGACCGCTTAGTGTGCAGAAGCCCTTATTATTATTATGTGTGGTACTGGGACTCGAACTCAGGACTTTGTGCTTGCCAGGAGGGCGCTGGTTTGCTGAGCCATATCCCTGGCCCAGAAGGCCTTACTAATGCTGGCTTCCAGTCACTGCTACCACCAACACTGTTATGGTCTAAGCCCTCACCAACGTTCACTAAAGAATGAATGAATGCAAAAGTGAACGAATGATCAAACAGGCCTCTCCAGGTAGATCCTGCTCCAGGTCCGGGGGCTGCAATGTGAGCAGAGCCTGGACTTTCACAGTTCACCCCCCATTTTGCCTCACCTACCTGGAGTATCCTTCCCCACTGTGGCCGCCCAGGAGACATTTCTGTTGAATAAATGCTGACATCCATTGGCCTCCAAGGGCCTGTCTGCTGCAGACAGCTTTCCAAGCCTTGCAGAGCCAAGGGGGGCATGGACCGGTGTGCTTCAGGGCGGCTGCCAAAGGAGGCCACCTCCCCCGGGAAGCTGGAGCCGATGGAAGCGGCCTGCCTGGATCTGCCCCAAGCTTAACGCCACTCATCGGTGGCATCCAGCAGACTTTGGCAAAGTGGTTGTCAGCTCAGGGATGTGGGGCCCAGGCAGGCTGGGGAACCCCAGAGGAGCCAGGGAAGGGCCAAATGCGAGCCTGTGCCGGAGGAGCTTGGGAGGAGGCAGGAGAGATGGGGCAGGGCCCTCGCTAGGAAGAGCTGGGGTGCCATGGAAGGAACCAACTACAGGCCCCAGGAGGACCTTAAATGTTGGTAGGAGCCGGCTGTGAACTTGGCAGAAATAAATCTTGCCATTTACAGCCTGGTTGTTGCCCTGAGGGCCAGGGGACCCCAAAAGGGAGAAGCAGTAGCAGAGACAACAGGGACAGAAACGGCTACTGGTTTGCTCCTACCCCTCTGTCAGTCACCCCTTTGTCTCTCGCTGGGCGTCCTCCTGGGCCCCGCCCTCTGCTTCCATGGCCCCTCTGCACACACTCCCGGCTGTCTCAAGCCCCGGTCCATGAGCCCACAGCCCCACCCCAGCAAGCGCCATCCTTACATCTGCCAATCCCCTGTCCCAACCCCAGGCACCCCCAGTCAACCTGCAAGTGACCCTGGGCCCCTGAGCTTCAGAATAGTGCCAGTGCCTGTCACTTCTTACCACCTCTGCTGCCAGCCCCTGTCGCCCAAGTCACCATCATTCCTCACTTGGTGTTCCATGAGAGCCCTGTGCGGGTCCCCTCTGCAGTCTGTTCTCCGCACTGTAAGCTACAGGGATCTCTGCTGCAATTTTAACTCAGATCCCATCATTCCAGAACATTCCCATCATCCTTTAAATTGAAACCAGACTCCCAAGGCCTGGACACAAACTGGCCTTGCCTCCCTCTACAACTTGCTCTCCTGCTGTTCCCCCTCTTGCTCATATTACACCTGCCACACTGGCCTTCTCTGTTCTCCTAATGCAGCTGCATATTGCTGCCCCAGGGCCTTTGAGCATGCTGAGCCTGCTGCCTGGCATGACTGTTCTCATCCTGCGTCTGTCTGGGAGCTCAGTGACTCACATAAATAATCTTTCAAAGCATGGCTCACATGTCACGGATGCGTGTCCCCTCCTCCATCCCACAACTGTGTCCTCCTTGCTGGCTTCTGTAGCTAGGGTCAGACCTGTCTCATGGCCCTTAGTGGCTCATCTGTCTTTTCCCTGGATGGTGAAGTCCTTGAACCTCTGGGCCCTCTTGTTACCCTCAATATTCCTGGCACCCAGCGTCAGGGCTGGCCCACAGTTCACACAGCAAAAGCTGGATGGCCCAGTGTGCAGATACCCAGTGCCCTTCTCGGTGCCCATGCCCTGGTGGGAGATGGTGGCAGGAGCAGGGCCTTGTGTCATCACAGCCGGCCTTGGGCTACCATGGCCCCAGCCCTGCCCCTTCCACGCCATTTGTGCCGGACGCTCTCCACGGAGGGCGGCGGTTCCTGTCTCTTGCTTAGCATCACCCGTGGGAGAGACTGGGAGGGAGGAGCACCAGGCAAAGAGCAAGCGCTGGTCCAAATCCTTGCTGGGCTTCTCAGCCCCTGAGTGCTCTTGGGCAGGGAACACGCTTCTCTGTGCCTCAGTTTCCTCTCCCACCCAGCGGGCTGGTAGCACGGTTGTGGGGGTAGATGAGGTGACCGGGGCGACGTGCTCAGCTCACGCCACAGGCTTGAGGGGTGTGAGCGGGTGGTCACCTCAGCTGCAGCACAGCGCCCCCTGGTCCTGCCACCGGGGCTGGGGCCCGGGGCCGTGCAGGCAGCGTAGAAAGTAGGGCAGAGCCACTTGCAGTTCACACCTCCACCAGCCGCCCCGGGCCAGCCTGCTGTAGTAGGAAATGGGTCGCAGGCAGGACCCGCGCTGGGATTCCTCATTTCCGCTCCTGTCTTTGGGGACAAACACTTTCAGTTTCATTTAATCGCAAAGCTTCTTAATTAGTTTTTTTTTCTTTCTTTCTTTTTTTTTTTAAATTCTGAGTCGCTAAGCCATCCTGCTGGAGGGAGCAGAAACCCTGGATAATGTAGGGCCTGGAGCTGGCCAGCTGCCCAGGGTGCCTGCTCCTTGAGCTTGGGTGCCTGGCGAGGGTTTGGGATACCCTCCCCACATCATTCACTGCCTCAGCCCTTGGTGGCCGCTCCCCTGAGGCACCAAACTCCTCCTGAGCACCTGGTGCGAGCTAGGTGTTGGGACACAGCAGAGACAGGTGTTAGCAAGGTGGGCAGCCAGGAGGAGGTGACAGCTGGGCTGAAGTGGAGGTAGCAATGCCTCATTCCTCAGTCATCTTTCTAACTTCCCAGCCCCACATTTTCTTGGCTTTCGATGGTGTGGCCCTTGCCTCCTGTAGGAGGCTGAGCAGAAGGACAAAGAAGGGAAATGACTGGTCTCTGCCAAGGGCCAGGGGCTCTGCCAGGTAACGAGCCTGCCCTCTCTTGTTCACACGCACAGAACTCCATGAGAGAGGTGGCACTGTCTGCATTGGACCCACATGGCATTGAGGCTCAGAGAGAGAACGACAGCTGTCCAAGGTCACACAGCTGGTTAAGGAGGGAACTGGGATTTGAACCCATGGTTCTTGCTCCTAGTCCAATGTACTCTGCCAGTGGCTTCCAACCTTGGGTCCACAAGGGGGACTAAGGGTGTGATCTAAAAGTTCCAAGAATTACCACACCACTCCTGTTCAACATTAGCCAAAGCAATTGGGCAAGAGAAAAAAGTAAAAGGGACATGCACAGGAAAGGATGAAGTGAAAGCATCATTATTTGCAGATGACAGGATCCTTTACTGACAAGAGCCAAAAACAAAAATAAAAAACTGCACCAAAAGCCTCCTAGGATTAATCACCAAATTCAGCAATGTAGCAGGATATAAAATCAACACAGACAAATCAATAGCATTCCTATTCACTAATAATGAATTCACTGAAAAAGAAACTAGAAAAACAATAGCATTCATACTAGCATCAGAAAATTACTTAGGAATTAATCTAACCAAGGAGGTGAAAGACCTCTACAGGGAAAATTATATTACTCTGAAAAAGGAAATCAGGAGGATGCCAGAAAATGGAGAGATATTTCTTGTTCCTGGATAGGCAGAACCAGTATAATGAAAATGGCTCTACTTCCCAAACTGATACACAGATTTAATGCAATTGCAATCAAAATACAATGGCATGTCTCACAGGTATAGAGAAAACAATACTAAAATCCATATAAAACAAGAAAAAATTGAATAGCAAAAGCAATTCTGGGTAACAAAAGCAAAGAAGGTGGCATTGCAATTCCAGACTATACTGTAAAGGTGTGGTGATTAAAACAGTATGGTACTGGCACAAAAACAGGCAGGTGGGTCAGTGGGACGGAACAGAAGGAACAGAAACAACAACCCGGGCACAGAGAGCTATTTGATCTTTGACAATGGGGCCAAAAACATACACTGGAGGAAAGAGGATCTTTTTAATAAATGGTGCTGAGAAAGTTGGATGTCCTTATGCAGAACATTGAGTCTAGGCCCATAAATTTCATCATGTACTAAACTAAAATCAAAATGGATCAAAGATCTCAATGTTAAAATAGAAATAATCCGCTGGGAGATAAAATAAGTAAAACTCTTAAACAGAAAGGCGTAGGCAAGGGCTTTCTGAACAGAATCCCAGTGGCAAAAGAAATAATACTGAGATCCATAAATGAGATCATATCAAATTAAAAAGCTACTGCACAGCAAAGGAAACAACCAACAGAGTGAAGGGACAGCCTTTTAGCCAGCTATTTCTCAGAGGGCTGATATCTAGAATATGTAAAGGTCTCAAAATAATTAGACACCCCAAAATAAAAGATCCAATCAAAAAATGGGCAACTGGAATCAATAGACACTTCTCAGAAGAAGTACAAATGACCAATAAATGCCTGAAAAAAAATCGCCTTTAGAGAAATGCAAATTAAAACTACTTTGAGATACCATTTTGCCCCAGAAAGAATTGCTATCATCTAAAAAAAAAAAAAATCTAATAATAGAAAATAGTAGCGAGGATGTAGGGGAAAGTAACTCTATTATATTGTTGGTGAGAATATAAACTAGTTCAGCCACTATGGAAATCAATGTGGAGATTCTTCAAGAAACTAGAAAAAAATTCCATTTGCCCCAGCTCTCTCCCTTCTGGGTATGCTCCTCAAAGAGTTAAAATCATATTACAGGAATACATGCACATCCATGTTTATAGCAGCACAATTTATAATAGCTAGATCTTGGACATGCATATATGTCCATCAACAGATGAATGGATAAGGAAAATGTGGTATTTATACACAGTGGAGCATTGCACTGCCATGAAGAGATAAACTGGAGGTATTCATAGGTAAATGAGTGCCACCTGAGAACATAATGTTAAGTGAAATAAGCCAGATGCACAAGGTTAAGTATTGCATGGTTTCTCTTATATGAGAAACTCAAAGTATATTTGCAAATGAGGAGGAAAATGTTAGATACTGGAAAGAGGGGAGAGGTTCAGATGGTTCCCCAATTTATTCTGTTGTTTCAAAATATTTTAATATATATGCTAATTTGTTTCAGTTATACTACTAGTTTCTCTTGATCATTGAAAAGAAAGCTTTGTGCTAATACCTGCTTGTGTCTTCTTTGTAAGGGAGAATGTTTTTGTTGATGTCTTGTATTCTGATGAACTACTTTGAAGATAAGATATAGTGTATTAAATTTAAAAAGCTATAGAGTAAGTGTATTAACAATTGTTATTCTCTTATTATTTTGTTGTGAAATTTTATTTTATTGTTTCATTAAAAAAAAAGCTCCAAGGGAAATTTCCTCTCCTGCTGGGGCTTGTGGATGCAGGGAACGTGGGCGTGTGGATTCAGAATGGCTGGGGGAAGCTATGGTCCTCACTGCATAGGAGGGGCCAAGACGTGCAGGTCTGCACAGAGGAGGGAACTGGTGAGGGATGAGTCACCACACTATGGAGCACTGCTGTTGTGTGGACACCAACTGCCCCAGAGTCTCCTATGTGGAAAACTGGATCCTCAACACAGCTGTGCTCAGAGGTGAGTGAGGACCACGAGGATGCTGACCTCATCTGTGGCCTCATTCAGGAGGAGCTCAGAGCTGAATGATTGTTAGTAGGTGGGGCCTGGTTGGAGGAAAGGGTCATGGGGGCATGGCTTTGAAGGGCTTATCTTGTCTTCAGCATCTCTCTCCCCTCCCCTCTCCTCTTTCTGCTCCTCCTCCTCTAACTGTGGACTGACCCTGAAACCATGAGCTTTTCCTTTTTTAAGCTGTTTTCTCAGGTAGTTTGTCACAGCCATGAAAAGCTAACACACATAACTTTTTGGAAAAACCATTTTTCACAACCACAAGCCCACTGAAAGGAATCCTGGTGGAGAAAGGGCTTCGAGGGCTGCAGGTCAACTGTTGGCAGCTGGATCCCCATTACAGGAAAGTGAGGCTCAGAGAGGTAAAGGTACCTGCCAGAGGCTTCACAGCTGGGGAGGAAGGGAGCTGGATAGAGAGCCAGGCAGCCTGACTCCGAGCCCGGTGCTCTTTCTGCTGCACCACTGTGCCTTATTTGGCCAGTGGCAGGCCTGGCTGTGGGGAGGGATCTTGCGGGGACAGCATGGCACAGCTACCTTCTCATAGTACTGCAGCTCATAGTCCAGGATCACGCCGTTGGGCTGGTCTGGCTGGGACCACGACAGGGTGATGCTATCCACAGTGCGGCTCACCTGATGCATGATGGATATGGCTGATGGCGCTGGAAGAGAGGCCAGAGGTCAGAGGTCAGGAGTCAGGGCAGGCATATGGAGGTGCAGGTTCTAGTCCAATCTCAGAGGCACCCAAACAGACAGGGAGCTCTGAGACCAGAAAGGGGAAGGCATCTGGCAAGGCCACAAAGCAGCTGGGTGAGCAGACAGGCAGAGGGGCTCAGGCAGGGCCACGGGGCTGCTGCTGTGCTCTCCTGGGGCACCTGTGGGGTATAGACACTGATGACCTTGGCCATCTTTGAGGAGCTCAAATGAGATGTCCTGGATCCCTTGTCTGGGCCTGGCCTCCAGTGGGCTGGATTAGATGCCCTCCGTTCTCTCTTGTATAAGGACCATGTGCTAACGGATTGTGCCACTGGAGCTGCCTTCATTCTCTCTTGGAGAGTCCAGCCTCCTGGACCCAGGGACAGTGAGGCCCTGGACATGGTGTGGGGGCTCTGGGAGAGGGAAGTGGAAGGATCCACAGAGATCAGCGGAGGTGTGCGACCCATTTATTCCCTGAACAACTTCGCATGGTGCCAGGGAATACAGCAGTGAGTAAAACTGACCCCCAAATAAGTACGTATTAATCTTCACACTTTAACCCCTAAGAAAATACTCCAAAGAACTGCACAGAGGTACTCAAATCCTTGCTTATGGTGGCATTGTTTACAGTCACCGAAGCGTGGAGACAACCCAAATGTCCAGTATGTGAACAAATAAACAAACTGTGTGTGGACACACAGTGGAATCGTAGAAGGTCATGAAATGGAATAATGCCAGGTGGGGTAGCATCTGTAACCCTATACCCTGGGAGGCTGAAGCAGGGAGATTGCTAGTGTGAGTCAAGCCTGGGTAATTTAACAACTTAGTGAAACTTGTCTCAAAATAGAAAAATAAAAAAAAGTCTGGGGAAGAAGCTCCATGTGAAGATTCTGGGTTTAATCTCTGGGACTGAGGGAAAAAAGAAAAGGAATGAAACTCAGGGGCTCAGCAGGATTCTGAGTAGAAACTGAGTAGAAACTGAGTTCACAGTTACAACCGTAGAAACTGAGGGGATTCGTGCTACCATGCAGATGGACCTCAAACATAAGCCGAGTGATACACACCAAAGGTGGAATATAGTGTGGTTTTCCTTACACAGAATACTCAGAGGAGGTAAATCTGTAGGGCAGAAGGCAGATTAGCAGTTGCTGGGGGTGAGGGGAGGGAAGAATGGGGAGTAGTGGGCATGGGACTTTTTGAGGGGAGGTGATAAATAGGTTTTGAAACTACATAGGAGTAGCAATTGCAGAATGCTAGGAATATACCAAATGTCCCTGAATTGTACATGATGAAATGGCTAATTGCATGTTATGTGAATCTTACCTCAATAAAATCCCTCTATCCCTCCACCCATCACCCATCCATCTACCCACCCATCCATCCATCCATCCATCCACCCACCCATCCAGCCATCCATCTATCCATCCATCCACCCATCCATCCATCTACCCATCCATCCATCCATCCATTCACCCACCCATCCATCCATCTACCTATCCATCCACCCATCCATCCACCCATCCACCCATTCATCCATCCACCCACCCACTCATCCATCCATCTACCCACCCATCCATCCATCCATCCATCCATCCACCCATTCATCCATCTACCCACCCACCCATCCATCCATCTACCCACCCATCCATCCATCCATCCACTTGCCTCTAACTGATGCAACCTGTGTTCTAGGAGGGCAGTAAGATGAGGGGGGGCTGAAACTGATGACTGTGTTTAGTGCTAGGAGGACTCTTGTAAATAACCCATTCCCCTCATTTTACAACTGTAGAAACTGAGTTCACTGGGGTTGGGGACCTGCTGAGCCCCCGAGTTCACAGTGTGTGGCCTTTTCGTGATTCCTTCTCATACCACACCTGGCCTGCTGTTTTCCTGCATCCTTCTCAAATGGAACAAACCTGTAAAAGCACCCACTATGTGTTGGCCATGGCCCTGGGCCCATTAACATGTGCTTTCTCAGCTGGCTGTCACTGAGGGGAAGCTCTAGCCCCACAGACAGGCAAAGACAAAGGCAAAGGGTTTCTGGAGGTGACACAGCCAGGGGGGCCAGGATCTAAGCCTGGGTCTGTGCTCTTCAGAGCAGTGCTGGTCCCAGAGGGGGACCATGCAGGGCCAGGCTCCAATGTGGCCCTTTCTAGGGTGTGATCATGCCAGCCCCCTCACTTTCATGGTCTCAGGAGGGGCCAAGGACCCACAGGGTGAAGGTAACACCTCCTGAGTTCTCTCCTGGTTCCTCTGACAAGCTGAGGTTCTGTCTTGGCCAACCCAGGGACACCAGAATGCTGAGGCTGACCGTTTCCCTCCCACCCCAGTCTGTTTTACAGGGAGTTTAGCACAGCCTAGACTTGGACCTGTGGGAACTCAGGGGGACTTGCACACTGGCTGGTGGGCTTGAGGCTTGGAGCTGACTTATCGATATCCAGCTCTGTTCCTGCCCCCTAGGTGTCCTTTCCATCCTGCTGCTCACAGGCTGTTACCTCAGGTGAGCTGTCCCCTCCATGGTCTGCACCATGGGCTGGGCTGGCAGAGCCCTGAGGCCTGCACTTGCGCACTCCGTGCCTGCTCTCACGCAACCCTTGATCTGGAGCCGATCCTCCCCCATGAGCCTCTGTTCCTTCTGCACCCAAGGGTGCCTGCTTACCCTCAGCGTGGCTCCTGGCTCGCTGTCATCCCTGGCATGTGGTCAGCGCTGTTGCGACAGTCGCTTGCAACTGTGCAGGTGATTTGTGACCCAGTCCCCAGCCCCAGTGCCATCCCACCCCCTGGAGCCACCTTGGTGAGGAGCTGAGCCTTCGGTGTTCTCCTGGGATGCCTGAGGCCGCCTTCTCTGTGCTGGAAGCAACACAAACTGGCCCTTCGGGAGCTTCACAGACCTGGCTGATGTGGGGTCCTGACTGGTCTAGGAGGCGTCTCCCACCCCCTCCAGCTTCTCTGCTCCTCTCAGCTGATGCACAAGGCCTCGGCCACTCAGGGATGTGTGTGGGGTTGGGGACATGGGATGGGTGCTCCGAGAAGCAGGGAGGATGCTTAAACTCAGCTGTGGGTGACCGGAGGCTAACACCCGGCCCTGCCTTGCAGGGGGAGGGTGTCAGGCAGGCTAGGCAAGGAGGTCTGCAAGTCTCCTTGATGTGCTGGGTCCCAAGCTTGGAGGTCCAGCCTGTGAGGTGGGCAAGGATGAGCGGGCAGCTGCCTGCCTGTCACGCCAGTGGAGCTACGGGCACACATATGCTGGCAAGGGCGGGTGCGAGGCAGTGTGCTGGGCCAGTACCCACCACACTTGCTTATTTGATGCTTCTCACTCTGACCTGCAGGACTTAGGCTGGGCACTCCTGGTCCCATGCCTAGAGAGGCCATCCAGCCTGGTGGTGGGGAGACTGGGGGTGCAGCCCTTGAGCACAGCTCTCCTCCCCTACTGCCTAACATGGGAACCGGGGCGATGCTTTCACCTGGCTGAGCCGCAGTTTCCCCGTGTCAAATGGAGCCCTCACCTGGCAAGGATGCTGAGGACGAGAGGGGACATGATGTGAAGCAGGGGCGTGGTACTTTGTCCATGCAGTTGCTATGGTGGCGCATGACGTGGGGTGCTGGGGCTGCAGAGAGGAGCCCCATAGGCCCTGGCTCCCAGGGCTCCCTGGTCTGATGGGAGAGAGGGTAACTTCCTTGACTTGGTGAGTGCCCATTCCAGGGTGGGCACTGTGGTGGGCGCTGGGGAGACTGTGAGACTTGGAAGCCACGGAGAATCCTGGGCTGATGGGTGCAGGGCTGGGCTGCTCTGTTCCCAGTCCTCCCTGTGATTTCACCCCCAGCAGCAAATCAAAGTGGCAGACTGTTCTGTGGCTTAATGCCCTTGAGCAGGAAGCAGGATAACCAGGGGAATTTGCTAAAACTTATGCAGTTGCCCCGGCCTCTGCCCCCAGATGCTGACGGGAGATCTGGGGCGCAGCTGGAAAGCCTGCGTTTCTGACAAGCTCACTGGGGCTGCAGATGCTCCTGGGCTGTGCACCATACTCTGAGGAGTAGAGGAATCAGGGTTGGAAAAGGAAGGTGACTGTCCCAGGTCACAAAGCAGTAGTAACGTGTCTGGGGCTGGACTCTTCCCACTGGGCCTGCAGATCTGAGCATGCAGGCAGCAGAAGCAGCTGTCCCTGAGACAGGTGGTGATGGGGCTGCTGAGGCAGGAGGGTGCCCAGCCTAGGAGCGTGGCCTGGTCCAGCAGGTCCTTGGCAGCCATAGAAGATTGTGGTAGGGGTGACTACTTGCCCCTCCACTGAAAAGCTCATCTGACAACCCCTGACTGCCCCATGATACCAGTGAGGCAAAGGCTCCTGCTGCCAAGACCAACCAAATGCCTCAAGTCAGTTAACTCCTTTACCACTTGTACCAATCCAGCATTGTTATTACACCCATTTTACAGATGAGGAAACAGAGGCAGAGGCAAGAAGTAACTTGTTCACACAGTTAGCAAGCATCAGAGCTGGGATTTGTATCAAGGTACCCACAGGTCCAACCTGCCTTTCCTTTCCATTGGCAGTGGTGGATGGTGGCTGACCAGGGAGGCCTGGAAACTAAGGCCTGCAGAGGGCCTCTGAGGACAGCCTGGCGGCTCTATCCCGCTGAGTCACCACCGCCCACCCAGCCCTGAGAGCTCAGCTTCAGCAGAGCAGGTCCCACCCACATGGGGGTCCAGGGCTGGGGCCCAGCCGGAGGCTTGGGTTTCAGGCAGCTACCCTGGAGCTCTGATCCTTTAAGCTCTGTGACCCGGGCGTGGCGAGGAGGCGGCACCACAGGGAAGATGACCAAGGCAGGCCAGTGGGGCCAGGCAGGGCTGGCCTTTCTCCTGGAATCCGGGGATTAGCAGGAGCAGCTGGATGCTCTGTGGCCCCTCCTGCTGCCCGCCGCCCACCCCGGGTCAGGTTTCCCTGGAAGTTGGTCATCAGGGAGTTCTGGT